TGAAAACATTAAGAAGAGAGGTTCTTTTATTATTTTTAAAATTAAATTTATTGGTGTAACAGTAATCAGTATCTATATACAGTGGGGCCTTGACTTACGAGTTTAATTCGTTCCGTGATGGAGCTCGTAACTCAAATTACTCGTATGTCAAATCAATTGTGAACAAGTGAGACACATGATGCTGGGCTGATGTTGTGGAATTCACTGTGACGTTCGCTGCGCCAACTAGCGGTGGGGTATCTGAAGCTGGCTCATAACCCGAATTTTAGCTCGCAACTCAAAGCAAAAAATCAGCCGAGAGACAGTTCGTATCTCGAAAAACTCGTTAGTCGGGACACTCATAAGTCAAGCCCCCACTGTGTGTGTGTGTGTGTGTGTGTGTGTGTGTGTGTGTGTGTGTATAAAAGCCTAAGCAACCTTTCAACCGTTCGACCAGTAGCTATGATGAGCAATGACCACCAGGGGGCAGACACTCAACGCACAGGCATGGAAACATGGGACCGACTGATGAATCTCAGAGGGAATGGGGGAGGGGAAGAAGAGATTAACCAAAGCTCTTATATGCATACTAAAGGCCAGGTGCATGGATTCGGGCACCGGTGGAGTCCCTCGGCCTGGCCTGTGGGGATTGGGCCAAAACCAGCAGTCCGACATCCCCCAAGGGGTCCTGGATTGTGAGAGGGTATAGGCGAGGCCAATGCACAAATCCGTGCACCAGGCCTCTAGTAATATATGATACATCATCTGTATGGTGTGCTCACCACCCAAAGTCTAGTCTCCTCTATCATCATATATTTGACCCACAGTACCCTTTACATCCTCCTCCAAACCCCCTTCTTTGGAACCTACCATACTGTTGTCTGTGTCTAAAAGAGAGGTTCTTGATTTTTAAAAATTTTATGCTACTTTAGTTATATATTTCTACTAATTCTAAGTTGGAGAAGTCAAACACTTAAGAAAGGTGATTATTTATATCTGAAAAATATGGCGTCTTTTAAAAAAAATCTCTTTCTTAGCAATATAAAGTGTATGCTGTGTTAAATGGGAGAAGGGATACACCCTATTGTCTTATTTAATGGTCTTACAAAATATTTCTTCTTTTTTGACAGTTCTGTTGAGTTGGAAGAATTGGGAAAATGTCTGGACCATTGAGAAAATGGATTTTGTAACTGGCTTTAAAACTAGGCCAAGGAAGTAGTTTTTCTGCAAATCAGATTTTTAAAGAAAATGCATCCGTTGGGTTAGTCTTTGTTTTTGACATAGTATCATCCTTTCTTAAATGCCCGTACTTTCAGATCAGTAGGGAGACTACATAATAATTATATGGTATCTATTTCAATTTTTTTTTCATTTTTATAAGTAATTGATATTAAATTTTTGGCAATTTATTTTTACCTTTTTTTCCTTAAAGGAAAATTACCTTAACTTTTTTACAGTCTGAAACAAACACAGTAGAAATGTTATTCTTCTCAGTTAATACATAAATGAAAATTACATTTTTTTCTTTATTGGCATGTACCTGCAAATATTAAAGGAGGAGAAAGATAATATAATTGTAAGTTTATTAAATGTGGTGTATACTTGACCAGCTTATCTAAATTGTACATAATGTTTGAACTAGCATATGAAATTGTTTTTAATTATTATATTCACAAGTCTGGGATAATTAGATATTATTTTGCATTTGTAACTAACCGTGATCATTATTTCTTGTAATTTCTTGTACATGTTTATTACTTGTTCTTAGTGGATTTTACTTTTGGAAACATGACTTGGCTTTGTTGGAATCAGTTCAGTTTTGTTTTATGTACCTGTTTGAATTTATAGTATTTTAGTTTTGCAGAACACTGCAATGGCAAAGAATGAAAGTGTCTATTTTCCCCTCATAGGAAGATATACTGGGAAGGAAATGTTAGTGTTTTAGTATAGTGTAGTTATTAAAAATAGCTCATAGATTTTGATTTGGAAATCTATACTGGCCAAGGATTAAGTATAAAGATTATATAAATCTTTCCATCTTGAGGTTGATAGAAAATATTTTTGTTCTGAGTCTAATAAGTTGACCTTTTCTGTTAATTAATGAGGCTGTTGAACAAACTGAATATATGGGCTATAATGCAACTCATTTTATAGTACAGATGTTATAATTAGGTTTTACTTTTTGTTTAAGTGTTTACCATTTATTCCGTTAGGAATAAGAAAAATTGATTTTCACATAAGTTCCTTAGTGTATGCTTGCTCTAGCACATCTTAAAGGCCCCTGTTAACAAAGCCCACAACTTATCATGCTAAATCTATATTCTATCAGACACCTACAGAAAGACCTCAGTACATGCTTTCACTCCCCTCTGCTCCCATTTCTCATTTCTTATTGGAAATCGATTTGATATAATACCGAAGACAACATTTAAAGGTCTTTGTTAAGACCTCATATATAAGAATTGGCCCCTGGTATCATTCCATCTTTACTTTGTCAGTTCACAGATTAACTTTTTGTTTTAGCATTTGAAAAGTAAAGTGCATTTTTGAAAAAATGAGTTTTAAAAAGAAAAAACATTAAAATAGTTCCACTTTTAGATTAAGTGATGCATTTTAAAATTTGTAATTCAAATAAAGTTTCTTGTTATTAAATTGTATCGCATTTTGTCATTTTACTTAACATTGAAGCTTGCTTTTCCTTTTGTTTAAAAAGTCCTCCTCCCCCAACTAGTAAGGTGTTCTTAAAGTACAGTTTTAATTAAGTGATGCCTGCTGGTTTTAAGAAAAAGCTAGTGTTGAACAGTAGTACAGAGGATGTTTCTCTTCTCTTTTTCTGAACCCTTGGTTCTATTGGTTTTAGTTTTGGTGTCACCTCCGTTAAAACTTTTCCATAGTTCTAGCCAGTTTGGCTCAGTGGATAGAATGTTGGCCTGTGAATTGAAGGGTCCTGGGTTTGATTCTGGTCAAGGGCACATGCCCGGGTTGCAGGCTCGATCCCCAGTAGGGGGCGTGCAGGAGATAGCCGACCAATAATTCTGTCTCATCACTGATGTTTCTATCTCTCTCCCTCTCCCTTCCTCTCTGAAATCAATAAAAATATATTTTTTAAAATGTATTTAAAAAAATAAAAGGTAACTCCTGTTTAAAAAAAAAAACACAAAAAATCTTTCCATAGCTCTTCAAGACTTACATAGCTCAGTTCTTCACTGTTAGAATGCTTACTACATACAGTTAGGGCACTTACTAAGTTAGTACTTTAGATGCCATGAGCACGTCTGTCCTTACCTGAATGAAAACTATTAGAGTGCAGGGGTTATGCCTTAATCACAATTATGTCCTCTTTGTCTAATAAAAAAGTGAGACTTCTAGGTAAGGGGTTGATGCCTTGAAAAGGAGAAAACACATTATTCTCTGGAACGGGACTGAAGGAGGCAGGAATAGATGCTGATCTATACATATTTATAGGTTACACAGGAGGTTGAAGGGGGTTAGGGACACAATTGTCATAATAGAGTAGGAGGTAAGATGGTTTACCAAGAAAATAAGGGCGAGGGGGTTAGGTTTGGGGTTTGAACAGAGTAATTCAGAAATCGTCAGGCTGAAGAGCCAAGTGCAGGAGATCACCAAGAGAAGAGCATCCTATGCCCTGGCCCGTGTGACTCAGTTGGATGTCATCCCATACATGGAGAGTTGCCGGTTGGATTTCTGGTCTGATTCCTGGTCAGGCACATGCCAGGGTTGTGGGCTTGATTCCCAGTAAGGGTTATACAGGAGGCAGTCGATCAATGTTTTGCTCTCACATTCATGTTTCTCTTTCTCCTTCTCCCTCCCTCTTGCTAAAAAAGAGGGGAAAAAAATCAACATTTTTTTTTTAAAGCACCTCATTTAGGGCTGAAGTGTGCTATGGGCTCTTGCCAATTAATTTCTAATCCACTACTCAAACCATTCCAGATTTGGGTGTCTTTCGCAGTCACCTCATTTTAGATGTCTTTCCCATTCATTTTAGTGATGGGTTTCTTCAAGATTTTTAGGTCTACAGACAAGTATTTTTATCAGTCAACTATGAAGTTACTTCATTTGCCTATCATAAAAATAGTGGGATTTAAAAACAAAATCCTTGTGTGGGAGCTAAAAGATATCTTGCATGTATCCCTACTTAATCTTCTATTTCCCAAGTATTTGCATGTGGAAAAAGTAAAGATTGAAGTAGAACTCTTGTGCTTTATTTTTTAGAGTGAAAATGCCCTCATTTCTTTCAAGAATAAAATGGAAATATGCTTCTTTGAAAGTTTTGTTAGGAACATGACCAAGTTGTGAACGTAAAAATTCATGTGTTAGGTTGGCAGATTCTGATAAAATAATGGTAAATTTTCAACAAAATAATTTTCTAAGCACTACTTCTCTTACCAAACATTGAGATGGATGCACTTCAGAGCACTGTGCTTCACATTAACCATGGATAGATACACACACACATCTATGTATTACATACATATAATCTCAGATTAAGGGGAAGTCCATTTTTTTACAAGTGGTCACATCTTTAGGAAATGGGAATTTGGGTCCTGTAATGGCCCCGGTAAGTGAAATATCCAAAACTGAGCTTGATGGACTGAAGGGGTAGTTGAGAAACATCTGAATGTCTTTTCTTGGGGAAGAGAGTAATCAGGTACTGAACTCACTCAGAACAAAAGCAGTCCTGGTGCCCCAGTGGGTGTCCATGCTCCACGTAGGTGGAGTCTTGTAGTGGATCCCTTGCCATTCAGAACGTGCCGCTGTTATTGTAAATGTAAATATACTATCTTTCTAAGACAGCCATGTCCATTTTTTCATAAGTAGCACTAACAGTGGCTGCAATTTCTACTGAACATGTAGCCTTCTGCAGAAGAAAGCATCTGTTATTAAAATAGCCCCTTATTAGTCCAGCAGAAGACCCTGGCTGCTACCTCTAAATTCCCTGTACTAGACATAGTCCATGAGTCTTTATTATTTTATTAATAATAAATATAGTTGATAACATCCTATGTTTCAGTGGATTTCTCAGATAAGGACTGGAGCAAATCTTTATAGACAGCAGAATTCATGAATCGGGGATATGAGTCTCTGTGCATTAAGGTGTAAATCTGAAGTTGTGCATCATCGAATATGTGTTGGGATGGCTCCACCATGTTCCTGTTGATGACTTCTCTGACTCGGGAGTCTAAGCTGACCTGTGAACAGAAACAAATAAGAGTTGTATTAGATACGTTTCTCTTTGGAAATCCATCCCAAATTCCCATAGCTTGTTCTGGTTTTTAAAAATCCCAAACCCATGCCTGACCGGTTTTGCTCAGTGAATAGAGCAGGGGTCCTCAAACTACGGCCCGCGGGCCACATGCAAATACAAATATTGTATTTGTTTCCGTTTTGTTTTTTTACTTCAAAATAAGATATGTGCAGTGTGCATAGGAATTTGTTCATAGTTTTTTTTAAAGCTATAGTCTGGCCTTCCAACAGTCTGAGGGACAGTAAACTGGCCCCCTGTTTAAAAAGTTTGAGGACCTCTGGGATAGAGCGTTGGCCTACGGACTGAAGGGTCCCGGGTTTGATTCTGGTCAAGGGCATGTACCTTGGTTGCGGGCACATCCCCAGTGGGGAGTGTGCAGGAGGCAGCTGATTGATGTTTCTCTCTCATCGATGTTTCTAACTCTCTATCCCTCTCCCTTCCTCTCTGTAAAAAATCAAAATATATTCTTTAAAAAATCCCAAAGTCACCCCAAAATTGAGCGAGCCAAAGAGAAATAACACATAATGAGGTTCTCAAATTTCAGTGGCTTCAAAAGCTCCTAGAAGGCTCCTTAAAACAGATTCTGGGTCCTCCCCTCTTCAGCGTGTCTCCATCATTCCTGTCCCACCCCACTGTTGATTGCTCACTGCACCAGCCCATTAGGATCCTGAGGCATTGGTGGGGGTGAGGGTGGAGGGTTCCAAGTCACTCTGCCCCCTTATGTGAGAGTTCTCTGGCAGGAGAGGCAATGTTTCATTAACTTTATATTCTTAGCACATATTTGGAAATAATGAATGATTTTATAACTAGAACCACAAGGCACTTAGTTTTGAGATCAACCTAACCTAGATTTTGGAATTGAAAGAACAAAAACTCTTGAGAGATGAAAACTTGCTTGATTTCACTCATAATTTCTCTGATATTAAAAAAGGACACTCTGGGGAAAACCTTGGAAGAATCAGTATCATGTTAGTGATGCTACCATATAAAATAAAGATATTAGGGGACATTGTAATACTTTCAACAATAAAAATTTAAAAATAAGTTAAAATAAAGATACTATAAAAAAGATTTTGAATCAGAATAAAGGGATACTTTTATTTAAAGAAATGCTTATACTATTTTTAAACAGTATTAATAGTGAGATGCATAGACTACCCCTTTTGGAGAATCTGATGAAAGTTATGGATACTTTCTCCAGAAAAATGGACAAAATCTTTCCCAGATTTCAGGGTGTACTTGGAGCCCATTGTGGGACCATGGTCAAAGGAATTAGAATACACTTGACCCTTGAACAATACAAGGGGTAGAGGCCCTGACCCCATGCAGGTGAAAATCCATGTATAACCCTTGACTCCCCAAAACTTTACTAATAGCTTACTGTTAACTGGAAGCCTTATTGGTAACATAAATAGTTGATTAGCTCATATTTTATATGTTATGTGTTTTATATACGACTAGAGGCCCAATGCACGAAATTCGTGCAAGGGGCTTGGCCCTCGCAGCTGTGGCAGCTTACCTCAGCCCTCACAGCCCTGGCTCCGTCTGGAATGTCGTTCGGCTGTATGGTTTAATTAGCATATTATGCTTTTATTATTATAGATAGTCTCATAATAAAGTAAGGTAGAGAAAAGAAAATCTTATTAAATGACAAGGAAGAGAAAATATATTTACAGTACTCTCTTGTATTTATTAGGAAAAAAACCTGCACACTTAAAATCAGGATTCTTGCCCAGCCAATGTGGTTCAGTGGTTGAACATCCACCTATAAACTAGAAGGTCACAGTTCCATTCCAGGTCAGGGCATATGCCTGGGTTGTGGGCTCGATCCCCTGTGTGGGGTGTGCAAGAGGCAGCCGATGGATGATTCTCATTATTGATGTTTCTCTCTCTCTCTCCCTTCCTCTCTGAAATCAATAAAATCCTATATAATAAAAGGCTAGTATGCAAATTGTCCCCTCAGGAGTTCGACTGCCCGCTATGACATGTGCTGACCACCAGGGGGTGGCACGGAACAAAGGAAGGCCTGGCCAGCAGCTGGCAGCCAGGGGAAAGAAGGCCCAGGCCGGCAGCCTGAAGGCCATGATCGGCCCTGATCGCCGGCCAGGCCTGGGGATCCTACCTGTGCACGAATTTCATGCACCGGACCTCTAGTTTTATATATATAAAATTCATTAAAAAAAAAAAACAAAGCAGGGTTGTTCAAGGGTAACAGCACTAGGGATAGGAGGTAAAGTCATTTCCTATGTTTTGGAGTAGCTGTAACTGTGCCAGGTGACCAAACAGAAGGGTTCATTTTATCCATGGGCTCCTGGAACAAAACCTTTTGGTAGGCACATACCTCTTTAGGAGAAAGAATAGAAATGTAGTCTTCATATATTGTCCTTGCCTTTTCCTCAATAATGCTCTTATTAGCTTCTTTTTTCAGTTCCTCACACGCCATCCAGAAAAGCATATTGTCTTCACTGAATTCTGTCCGGAGGAATTCGCGGAAAGCATTCCTTCCTGCTGGGGTGAGCATCAACTTGTCGAAGGACTGCGCCCAGGCACTGACCTCTTCCAGAGTAGGAGTTGGGCTGTGCAGAGACCAGAAGAAAGGGCAAAAGGGAGCCATGTTACTGGTAGTTCATCTGGATTTCATCACTGGAAACCTATCTTTTTCCTCTCTGAGAATGAAAATGTGCACTTTGGACCTTTCAGGAAGAGAAAGAGCTGTTTTTGTTTCCTTAAGCCTTTAGCAAAAACACATGAGTTTGATACTTTCATGTTGTTTAGCTGGATTGCATGGCTACTGCCCAAAGGCTGGCGAGCCAAATTGCTACAATAACTGCTCAGCCCATACTTGTTTATATCTAAGCATGTCCTGGAAAAGTTTTTAAATTATAGAGGAAAAGAAAAATCCTATAATCATCTGAGCAAGAACTCCCTAGTCACATGACAGACCCGAGTCAGCCCTGACCACACTGACTTCCAGAATAGCAGTGGGGCAGTACCTATTTAGTATGTTTTAACACTCAAAAGAGAATTTTAAAGAGGAGAAAAGAATATGAGTTATATAACTGCAGGTTATGAAGGGTGACAACGAAAATGAGCATCCATGAATTCACCATTTACCTTGAGAACCAGGCCATCGCCGAGAGCTGCACTTACCTTGACACTACACTCAGACACTGCCCTCTGGCTCCCCAGGTCTGAGGGAACCTCTATTCTTGATTTTGGGTTTTCCCTATTCTAGTTGATTTTTTACTTACATTTCATTATACTGAGGTCAGAAAAAACAATCTGTTTAACAATGACCTTTATTATTTCTTTTCCATTACCCTCTCCCCCTAATTTCTATGTATGTATGTATCCTGGAACAATGTATTTTTTAGTTAAAAAAATATATTTGTATTGATTTCAAAGAGGAAGGGAGAGGGAAAGAGAGATGGAAACATCAATGATGAGAGAGAATCATTGATTGGCTGTCTCCTGCAAGCCCCACACTGGGGATTAAGCCTGTAACCCAGGCAGGAGCCCTGACCGGGAATTGAACGGTGACCTCCCTGTTCAAAGGTCAACCACTGAGCCATGTAGGCTGAGCTAGTTTTTTTGTTTTTTCTTTTCTTTGAAGTCTATAAAAATGTCTCCTACAGCTTGCTTTTTCCACCCAACACTAAGTGTCTAAGATTCACCCATGCTGCTGTACGTGGCCAGCTCAGAGTTCCTGGGCAGGATTCAGCTCTCATTTTCCATTCTTGTACTATCCTCATCTGATTTTGGTTTCGCTGTTACACTGGCCTCTTAGACATTTGGGTAATTATACGAGACTCGTGTAATCTTGGAATGATCAAGTCCTGAAATGTTTTGTGGAACTAATCTGTGAAACCAACTGGCTCCAGTGTTATTTTGTAGGAAGTTGTTATTGGGTTGAATTTTATGCCTGAAAAAAGATATGTTGAAGTCCTAGCCTTATTTGAAAATAGGATCCTTATAGATGTACTCCGTTATGAGGGGTGTTCTTACAAACAGAGACAGATACAACAGCCCGTCTTTGGCTTAGCAACAACGAACTATTATCACCCCCACTTTACACATAAGGAAACTGAGGCATAATGTGTCTACTAAGTGCCCAAGGTCTCAAGGTTCCACTGGCGGGAGGGGTATAGCCAGGACTCGATGTAGGCATTGTGGTTTCAGATGTAACAGCCTCAAGCTTTGGTACAGAATACATGGTACTGGAATATACAAGATAAAAGCTGTTTTAAGAAACTTATAAATTGTGGAAGATTTTAATGTGCTTCCCAGACTTTTTAAAATCTAGGTAAGAATAACTAAGATAAAGAATGAAGAAAAATATTTAACCAACCTTTTAGGCTACTTCCCTTTTTCCTCTCAAAATAAATAAATCTCAAAAATAAACATTTAAAACAAGACCTATTTGAACAGTGCTTTTAGGATATTGGTTTTGTATTTGCAATTATGTAGGCAAAATTCCAAGAAAAGGTCTAAGAATATGTAGGTAAAAGTAAATCAATTGATACTACAGGTGGGAAAGAGACAATATTACAATCTGGCATTATGGAAAGTAATTTATGTGCATTTTCTGAAATTTTAAAAACAATACATTAATGGAAGTATAAGTTAATAGTGAAGAAAAAGATGGACTTTTAAAACTTTCCTGAAAACCAATGTGTATGTTTTATTATAGTCTTTTAAAAGCATACTATATAAAAATCAAATAACGTCATACGCTTTGTCAAGAAGCATCAATTTATATTTGAGATTAGCAGGTATTAGATTAATGATGGAACTGATTTTTCTCCCTGTCACACAATGAATTAAAAGGAAGTCTGCAGTGAAAATGTGATGCCAAGTTATGACTTGATATTGCTGACTTGCAGTTACAGAAACTATGTGTTCATTAAAACATATAGCGGAAAAAAATAATAAGGTAGGCATTTCTGTCAACTTAGTGAGCTGAACACATGAGATCTTACCTTTCTTCCCAGGTTGGAAGGTCGTCTCTTCTGAGTTCATGGGAAGCCCTCCCGGGTCCCTGTTCTTGATTTCTAACAGTGAGACTGCACAAAATAAGACATTAACGTGTCAGTTTAGACCATTCTTTATCAAAGAAAGCTTTTTAAAGATATTCTAAAGAGAACTCGATTACCAAGTGGAACTTCTTTCTTTTCTTCAAAACAGTGACCCTGATTGGCTTTCTTAAGAAAACCATATGACAATAAAGTATTAGCAAAAATAAATTACATTTAAAATACTGTGGTCTACACTAATCAAGAGAGAATTTACATTTAGAATAATATTTTCATAAAAACATGCCCATTAAAAAATAATAAAAAGGTGAGATCATCAGGATATTTTGCTTTTGCTTTTTCTCCTTTTTCCAAATAGTTTTATTTATTTATTTCATTTCTTGCACCTCGAAAACAAGTATATACTCTCCAGACTTTGTTTGCAGTCAAAATGCAGGTTTTATATATTGATAGGCACACCTACAAAAGTATCAGAGAGTACCAGGAAAGTAAATAAAAATCTATTGTATTGTTCAAGAGAGTTTAAGTTTCCTTATATACATTTGGTACATAACTTTGTAAATTTATTCCAAGTATTTTTGTTATTATTGTAATTGAATTTTCAGTTCTATCTCAACTCCTAACTGATTATTATTTGTACATATGAAGGCTATTACTTTCTTGATAGCTTTATTGAACCATTATTTATATATCACAAAGCTAATTATTTAAAGCGTGCAATTAAGTGGTTTTTAGCATAATCACAAGGTTATACAGCTATCACTAATATCTAATTTTAGAACATTTTCATCACCCTAAAAAGAAGCCCAGCCAGCCCTGGCTGGTGTGGCTCAGTGGGCTGAAGCACCGAAGGGTAGCGGGTTCGATTCCCTGTAAGGGCACATACCCAGGTGCACAGGACAATGCCCAACCAACTGAGCCACACCAGCCAGCGCTTTATTGAATTCTTTTTTGTTTGCATCAGTTTAGCTATAGTTCTCTTGTGGTTTCCAGGTATATTCTCGTATCATCTGCAAATAGGGAGTTACTTCTTATTTTCCAGTTTTTAGGCTTCCAGTCATTTTCTCTTGTCTAATGTCATTGGCTGATGATTCCTATAGTACAATACTAAAGAGTAGGGGTATCATAGACATCCTCACCTTGTTTTTGTTTTCTGGGTTTTTTTTGTGTGTGATATATTTTTATTGATTTCAGAAAGGAAAGGAGAGGGAGAGAAAGAAGTCTCAGTGATGAGAGAGAGTCACTGATTGGCTGCCTCCTGCATACCCCACACTGGGGATCCAGCTCAAAGCCTGGGTATATGCTCGAACCGTGACCTCCTGGTTCATAGTTCGATGCTCAACCACTGAACCATGCCAGTCAGGCCTCACCTCGGTTTTAATTTTAGCAGGAATGCTTTTAGTTTCCCATTAATATAAAAATTGATTTTTATCACTGCTTTTGAGTTTATCTTTCTATCACTACTGTATTATCTTTTCTATTCCTTTTATTACATCTTTCCTTAACTCTCTTTGCACCATTTTGTAAGCCTTTCAGTCTATTTTCAGCACATCTGCTTAAGAATTTTCAGTGATTGTGTGTGTGTGTTGCTCTATTTTTCTTTAAATGCAAAGTCATTAGAAACTCGTCCGACTTGTTGCTTTCATGATGCCAGGGCTAAAAACTGTCACTGAATAATGGTTTCTTAAAACAAAACAAAAACAAACTTGAGAGGCGTCTGGGTGGTGTTCTCTCTGTGGGAGAATGAATACTGATTGACTTCTGAGGCTTCGTTCATAAGCAGAAAACATTACTGCACAGCAGGTGTGAAAAAGCAAAGAGAAAGTGAAGGATGAATTTGATACAATATTCCTAAAAGAACTGGAAATTCCTTTGTGAACTAAATAAGCAATATTTATTTAAGCTTTGACATTTTTCCATGTCTCATTTTTTTAAAGTAGAAATATTTAAGGAGACAATGTATTTTTTAAAAAAACTGAAGAACATATTTTGTGTCAGTTTTTAAAACCAGAGTTAAGTTATTATTGCCAGGCGGGAAAGGACCCCGGGAGTGCTTCAGGGCATGTCCGGCCTATCTCGCTCAGGGTATGTTGGCCTATTTTGATTGGCTGGACCTCAGCAGCAAGCTAACCTACTGGTTGGAGCATCTGCCCCCTGGTGGTCAGTGCACATCATAGCGAGTGGTTAAGCGGCCTTAGCATATCATTAGCATATTACACTTTGATTGGTTGAACGGCTGACTGAATGACCAGACACTTAACATATTAGGTTTTTATTATATAGGATAAACATAAATACACAAAGATATTTTCAACTTTGTAAAAATGTTATTATGCAATATGCACTGCTTTACAGTTTGCCTTTTCCCACTCTAACATGAATTTATTTATTTATTTATTTATTATGTATGTATTTATTTTTAGCACATGAATTTAAATGCTGTGCGGTATTGCATTGTTTAACTATATCACAATGTTCATAAACTTTAGAGACATTTTCAATTTTTCTTGGTCAGACTAATGCTACATACTCGTCTCCTTTTGCACATGTGTGAGGTTTTTCTAGGGTAGGCTCTTATATTTAGAGGTTTGTTTTGTTTGTTTGTTTTCACCCAAGGATATGTTTTTCATTGATTCTAGGGAGAAAGAGAGAGAGAAACATCGATCAGTTACCTTCCATATGCACCCAGACTGGGGATCAAACCTGCAACCTGGGTATGTGCCCTGACTGAGAATCTAACCTTCTAATCTCCAGTGTATGGGATGATGCTTTAACCAACTGAGCCACATCGGCCAGGGCTAAAGGGTATATATTTAACTTCCATATATCTGACCCTTGTTAGTAGAAGCACAAGTGGTTTATATTTCCTGTTTTATTTCATTTGCTAATTTTTCTTTTAGTCATTTTTTTTTATTTATCTCTTGAAATTCTTCATTTGCATTCTTTGTTCAATGCATTATAACCCTCCCTACGTGGGTATTTTCTCCACTTAGATCCGTGGTCGGCAAACTGCGGCTCACGAGCCACATGCGACTCTTTGGCCCCTTGAGTGTGGCTCTTCCTAAGCCTTAGGAGTACCCTAACTAAGTTAATAACAATGTACCTACCTTTATAGTTTAAGTTTAAAAAATTTGGCTCTCAAAAGAAATTTCAATCGTTGTACTGTTGATATTTGGCTCTGTTGACTAATGAGTTTGCCGACCACTGACCTAGACAGTCACGTGTGCCACTCCTCCAGTTTCCTGCTGGTCCTCTAGATTATACTTGAGGATGAAGTTTTGGCTTGAATGTCAGACTGCTTAGCTCTTGTCAGTCCTGTCTCCCCACATTCCCACTTGCTGTCAGGCCTCTGTCCCAAATGGACACACCACCCAGCATCATGATTCCATTGGTCCTTGGAGTGTCATTTGGTGCAACTCATCCACCAGATTGGAACTTCATAGAAATTAACACTAGCCCAAGTGAAGTGGAGCAGACCTAACTTTCCTGGACATTTCATCTTCAATCTTCACCCCACCCCCAATTCTGTCACTATTCTTGATCAGTCCCTATATTAATTTTTCTTCTTCACTGGACAGTGAGTCTTAGTTCAACTTGTAGTCAAGCCTACATAAATTTGCGATCATTGAATTGCCTAAAGGTATGTACACAGCTGGCACTAAACACTTTTCTTATCCAATATTTTAGAAATGCAATCTAATGTTCCTATGATTTCAAGGTATAAGCCATATACATTTCTCTAGACTTTTAACTGATTTACTGAAATGGTCAAAGGTGTTTTATTTTCAAATTGTATATCTATCTTTTTAAGCAATGATTGTTTTTTTTTTCCTTTTAACAGTAAGTTAGCCTATATTTTGACACTTAATTAAAAAACAAAAAAATTAATAAGGCAAAAGCAGCAGATGATAAAATCTAGGCTCTTTGTACTTAAAGCCCTAACCTTTAAGACCCATCTTAGTTTCTACCCAAATATTAATATTCAATCATCAACTTCCTTAGGTTCTTCTTTAGTGTTTTAACAACATCAGCCTGATTTCAGGAATTTGAATATAGGTCCCTCAAGAGCTAGGATGCAGCCTCCTTGTTTTTGTTGTTGACCTTCACAGAACCCAAATCGGTGTCAGACATATGGTAGTGGTTTAAAAAACACTATTGAATTAATCACAAGCTGGCACAAGAGGCAGCATTTCTCAACCAGGAGCACATTAACGACAAAGCCCCAAACCTCACCATGAACAGCTACAACAGCAGCACCAGCAGAAGCAGCAAGCGTTGGATCCTCGGTTCCCCACTCCGTGCTGGCCCAGGAGGGAGTCTGATGTCTCCTGGGCTGCAGACATCTGTCGCTTCTGCATCTCCCTCCGTTCTGAGCCCATCAGCTGCAACAATGAAAGGAAAATTGGTTTGGGTGGGCAGAGTGACCACAACTTAAGCTTGGTGATTCAGTTGTTTGGATCATTGAGAAAATGCAATGTGACGATATCCAGGTCATTTCCACTAAATCTGGTAAAATATGGTGCTTAGAATTAATTTACCAAAGGTTCATTTAATGTCTAGCATCTGCCATGCACTGTAATATATTTTAGGAATAAAATCATGAATGGAGGGTCCGTGCACCAAGGCACCCACAGTTGAGTAAAGGAGACACTGGCATCATAGACATTGAAGACATGCAGTAAAGTGACAATAAGGTAATGTCCCAGCTGCAGAATTCCCTTTGGGTTGAACCGATGGGGAGCAGTTGAATTACAGTTGCCCATGAGGCCAGAGCATGGATATGGGAAGAAGCCACACCCAAAATGTCAGGCACAGTAACACAGCAGGCAGAGCAACCCTTAGGAGAGGAGCACGGCGGGGGTGGCTGCACTGAGTTATAAAATAAATGAGTAAATAAATAAATAAATAAATAAATAAATAAATAAAGTAAGTAAGTCACAGAGATGTAAAGTACAGCCCAGGGAATATAATCAATAATCCTATATAATAAAAGGCTTATATGCAAATAGACTGAACGGCGGAACAACTGGTCACTATGAGGTGCATTGACCACCAGGGGGGCAGATGCTCAATGCAGAAGCTGCCCCCTGGTGGTCAGTGTGCTCTCTCACAGGGAGAGCGCCGCTCAGCCAGAAGCCAGGCTCATGGCTGGTGAGTGCAGCGGCAGTGGCAGGAACCTCTCCCACCTCCACGGCAGGGCTAAGGACGTCCGACTGCCTAAGCTGGCAGTCGGATGTCCCCCAAGGGCTCCCAGACTGCGAGAGGGTGCAGGCCAGGCTGAGGAACCCCCCTGGAGTGCAAGAATTTCATGCACCAGGCTTCTAGCATTGTAATAACTTTGTGGGTTTTAAAAAATATATTTTTATTGATTTCAGAGAGGAAGGGGGAGTGAGAGAGAGATAGAATCAACGATGAAGAGAGAATCATTGATTGGCTGCCTCCTGCATGCCCCCTACTGGGGATCGAGCCCACAACCTAGGCATGTGCTATGACGGGGAATCAAACCATGACCTCCTGGTTCATAGGTGGACACTCAACCACTGAGCCATGCTAGTGGGGTTATTGTAATAACTTTGTATGGTGGTGACAGAAGGTTACTAGATAACATGATGATGACTTTGTATGCTATATAAACTTCAAATTACTATGTTGTATACCTGAAACTAATATAATGTTGTATGTCAACTATAATAACAATTTAAATAAACATGGTGGAGGATGGAAGTCCTGGGGAAGCCTCCTGGTCCTGAGGCTCACTGATATATTCCAATCTTCACTAGCTGCGAAACCTTGAAGAAGTTACCCAATTGAACTGTGACCTCCTGGTTCATAGGTTAACGCTCATCCACTGGGCCATGATGGCCGGACTGGGTTTGTTTTTCTAGTCCAGCATTGGGTTTATTTCTTCCTCGTATTACCTATTCTAATATGCTATTGGACTTTGTTTTAATTATTATAGTTTGATTATATATTTTTATATTAGGTAAGTAGAGTTCCTTTCGTGAATTAGAAAAAAAATTGGTTTTGGCTGTCCTTGTCTAGTTTTTCTTCCATTTGAATTTTGGAATCAGTTTGTCAAGGTCCAAAAAATACTACGTTGGGATTTTGATTAGGACACATTGAATTTATAGATTTATGTATGACAAATGTCATCTGTTTTAGTACCTGCCAAATCAGGGGTGACTCCGCTGGATTAGCTCTTTTAATTATACTGAGATGTAAGTTCCAGGACAGCAAGAGGGCCTGTCAGAGTGTTTCTGACCCTTCACCCACAGCCAGAACAATGCTCACAACACCTGTCTACAACACCTGTCCACAACACCTGTCCATAACACCTGTCCAAAGAGCCCAGCCTCTGAGCAGTTTGGACCCTTGAGCTGGTGCATCTCACTTGGCCAAAGGTGGAGGCAGAGACATTTGCCTAACTCACAGCTGGGAGGCAGGCCCCCTTTGATGCCTCAGGGGACAAGCTTTGGGCTCCTCTGGACATCACATTCTCACAACTTCTGCAGCATTGCAGCGGGACACAGACCGACCTGGTTTCACTTCATTGAGGACACAGAGGGGCAGGGCCAAGCCCCACAATCTCCAAAGAGGCTCTGGGCAAAATTCTGAGTTTTCAAAAACTTCTGTTTGGGGGTTTTATTGTCTGAATAATTTGGGGGCTATTTTAAGAAAAAGCTAGTTCATTGTTCTAGTAGGGGAAGTCAACTGAAAGTTTAATGATAACAATGGGCTTTTTAGAATTAAAATTACTTCCAGATGGATGCTCACACACGCCTTTACCCTTTAAAAACTACTTAAGTATGTTACCATCTGTCTTACAGGGACTTGGAGCGGAAATCTTTACTCTTTTGTTTATATAGCTGTCGCCAAGTTTGTAACGTAAGCTACCAAAGATTTTAAGACTATAATAGTAATGTCTTTCTGTTCTCTTCTGCTGTTACTGAATGAACATATTGCAAAATAGCAAAAGGGAGTGAATGGCTAGGCTTTTTCAGGGAAATGATAGCTTGACTTTAGACATGAATTTTTCCACGTTGCAAACATTTTTGTCCTGTTTTTCCCCCCTATAATTTTTTACAAGTGCCTTTGGGAAACATTAGAAGGAAAGAGTCTGACCTGAAGGAAATTAATAAGTTATGCATGTTTTGACTTGTTCTTTCTTAATACCAATCAACACTCTGGAGCATTTTGCAACTACTGCTGGAAATCTCTATCAGGGGATTTCCTTAGGCCAGAAGACCATGGGAATTTCTCAGGGTTATGGCAGATATGTGAATTCCCAAGGACAACTTAGCCCAGGGGCACCTTGGAAAGTACTAAAATCTTGTCTGTGGTGCTGCTTTAGTGAATCTCCAAATAAAAATGTGTCAGGCAGTCATTAACGGTTTGCACGAGGCGCCCTGCCAGCTTTTTTCTGTTTCACAGCTAGGAATAGGCTCTCTAGCAAGAATTTCTGAGCAATCATTATAAATTATGGGGGGGTGGGGGGGACCAGGACAAAATATTTGCAACATGGAAAAGTTCATCCCTAAATTGAACTACCATTTCCCTGAATAAGCCTACCCATTCACTCCCTTTTTCTATTTTGGGAAGCAGCGTTACTATCCATCCAGCTATCTAAGAAAGCCTGAAGTTACCCCCAATTCCTCCCACTGCCACCTCATGGCAAACCATGGGAAGACTATCTGCCAGGATGTCTTTCATGCCTATCCCCTGTCCTTTCTCCAGGGCCTGGAGTCATGGAGGAAGTCTCTATATCATCACTCTGCCTCAGATCCCTAGAAAAAGGATAACATTCTGGAAGGAACTCTGAGTTTTGAAACCTACATAAATATAGAGCCTAGATCATGCATTATGCATGCTTCACAGCGACCCTAAGAGTGTGAACTGAAATTTGGAGTTAATTTAAATCCTCTACAAATCCACACTTTTATGAAAGTGCCGGAAGTAAGGTTGGAAGCAATAGAGCATTAAAAATTAAATCAGTTTCCTCTTTGATTCTGAAGTGACCCAGGGAACTTATCCACCCAAGGGAGGAAAGGATAAAGCCCCTGCTGTGCTCCCCTAATCACCACCACATTTCTAGGTAAATTCTGAATGCGCTTCAATACTAAGATAAGGGTCTGGGAACATCTGATATCCTCAGATGCATTTAGGCAGTTTCCTCAACCTAGAACAATTCTCCAAGTTAACAATGCAATATCACCATCACCACCACCACCACCATCACTGCTCTTCAGGTCAGTCAAGGAAGTTGCAGCTAGAGGGAGGCAGGAGGCACCTGGTGGTGCAAGGGGAGGGGTATGTCAGGAGGCATTCCAGCCATAAAGAGGGCTGGGGCTCCAAGGGCTGGCCTGGAGTGGATACTATGAACATCTTCTGGCAAGCAGAGGCTCCGGTGTAAGAACACCTGTGACCTTTGCAGCATGTGCTCAAACATACCTTGTACCTAGCAACCACATTGGAAATGAGTGACCTATCCAATGTTCACAACAGCCTTTACAGAATAATGTTCTCAGCAAAAGTACAAGTGAGCTGGTCATGCAGACATGGTGTCCCTCTAATGGGACAGAGTAGGAAGTGCCAGTGCCACCCATGAGGTGGTCTGGTCAAGTCACTGAACCTAAGTCCATTTGAGCTATTGAATCTAACAGCTCGTTTGCAGGAACTTAGGGAATAGAGGAACAAGTTAGCCTCCAGAGGAAGAAGCAAATGAATTCAGCATGTAGGACAATCCCCAGGGCAAGGCATCTTGTTTCTTTTCACAAGTTAGTGCATGAAAAAGAAGGTGCAAAGTGGGAGAAGCAGTGATATAAAGAGACTACAAAGAAAGAATGTGATATGGCTCATGTGATGGAGTAAATTGTGTCCCACCCAATTCATATGTTCAAGTGCTAACCCCCAAACTTTGGGATGTGACCATAGTTGGATAGGATCTTTCAACAGGTGATTAAGTTGAAATAAGGCCATAAGGGTGGGGCCATAATCCGATCTGATTGGAAATTTGGATTCACAAAGACACCAGGGATATATACATGCACAGAAGGAAGGCCATGTGAGGACAAAGTGAGAAGACAGCTATTAGTAAGCTAAAGAGAGAGGCCTCAAAAGAAAGCAAACCTACTGACACCTTGATCTTTAACTTCTAGCTTCCAGACTGTGAGAGAATAAAATTTTTGTTGTTTAAGCCACTCAGTCTGTGGTATTTTGTTATAGCAAACCGAGGAAACTGATATAGTTAAGTATTAGATGACGCTGGAATATTGTAAATTTGGTTGGACATCACAAAGGTATTGCAGTTATTATAGGGATATTATATTATAGGGATATTATATACTTTAATTTTTAAATTGACTTTTAAAGAGAGAGGAAGGAG